CGGTCAAATCAGAGCTGGGCTGCATGACGACAGAACATGATGGAGATGATGGTACATGAATTCTGAAGCTAGAAGAAAAACTTTTTTTTTTTTTAGGTCCTACCTTGGTCCTTGAATCCCTTGCTCTGGGGGAAGCCAGGCACCGTACGACGAGGACACTCAAGCAGCAGAGACCCACATGGAGAGGAACAGGCTTCCTGTTGACAGCCAGGCCCACCTTGCCAGCCATGTGGATTAAGCACCTTGGAAATAGACCCTCTAGCCCCAGCCGAGCTTCAGATGCCTGCAGCCTCTTGAGAGACTCTGAGCCCAAGCTGCTCAAACTGCTCCCAAATTCCTAACCCACCAAAACCAGGACACACAAATAATCATTTTAAGCCTTACATTTTGGGGCAACTTGTTATACAGCACTGGGTAACTAATACAGTCCCTCTCGTTCTCAGGGCTATTTCCTCTCTCGGATTCTTGCTTCGGCTCCTCCCAGCTCCTGGCCTGTTCCCCCACCCAAGGTATGGAGAAGGGAGAGAGATGAGACATAGCCCTGGATCAGCACAAAATCAGACAGCCGTCAGCCAACATCATTTTTTTCTTTCATTTTAATGAACACTTTACAAAGTACAAAATATACTGTCTTTTTTGGGGGGAACATTAGGTACTTTTTTTCTCTCTGTCATACAGTACATGAATCTCAAGGGTTTTGTGTTTTTTCAAGAAAGAAAGAAAGAAAGTGTGAGGGCCTGGGGTACAGGGCTGCCCTGTTCTCCCCTCGCCCAGACCTTGGGACAGATGCAAGTGCCGCTGCTACTGCTGGTGACCTGGGGCATGCCAGGGGAGGGCCAGACCCCCAAGGCGAAACCCTGGGCAGGGCAGAGGCCCCTCTGAGCCCTGCTGTGCAGCCAACATCCACTCACCCCCATCTCAGGATAACGGAAATGATTTTGGCAAAGGGCAAGTGGAGGGCTTGGGGTTTTGTTTGCTGTGACACCTCCCCACCCCCCGTTTTGGAGCCAACCCTGCCCAGCTCTTCCTGGACCATTTTCTGAACAGGTAAACTGAAGCAGTGGACAGGAAAATGCACTGGGCTTGGCCTCTGCCTTGGGACCTGAATTTGGCCTGTTTTTCACCCACCCCACCGGCCCTCCACTCTGGTTTCCAACTTCGTTGGATGCTCTGCATGGACGAGCCCCAGCAGGCAAAGGGGCACCAGCCCCCAGAACCCCTCCCTGTAAATACTGTCTTCAGGACTGGCTGCTTCTGAGGAGTCCGCCCAGCAGGTCTAGCCCTTGGCTGCATGGACCTCCGGGCCTCTGCAGGGCAGAGCACAGCCCCTGCACGGACACCTCTGCCCTGTCTGTCCGCAGAGCAGTTTTAGCAAAGTCAAGGGGGGTGGGGCTGCCTTGCGTTCGAGGTCTGCTGCCCGCACCCCTTCAACTCTACACGTGGCCCCGTGGTAAGAATGTACCCAGGCCTTGAAATACTGGACGAGCCAGTCCCTCCACTCGGATCTGGGTTCTGCACGTGTGTGCTCGCGTCCACACTAGGGTGCGTGACACAGCGCACACTCACTCACGTGTGCGTATACACACACGTGTGGTCCTGCCCAGAACACTGCTCTGACGCCCAGCACTTGCCGCGTTCACAGCCTCCTACACCGAGAACCGAACCGAGAGCCACAAGCTCCCTCCCCACCAGGCTGCCCACGAAAGCAGGGGCCAGGCCGCAGGCTTCTACCTGTGCTCCAGGCCACTCCTGGTGCCCTCAGCCCCAAGGACAGGAGGCTGCCTCAGCCAACAGCTCCCATCCTTCCCTCCCAAGAAAGTAGGCTTCCCAGGAGGGCGTGGGTTTCAAAGCTGAAGACCATAGCCCACCCCGCAGCTTTCTCTCTCCCTCGGTCAACGGAAAAGGGTCCTTTTGCTGCCTCTGATTTGAAAATGAAAGAATAGAAAAGAGCTGGCATGTGAGAAAAGGTATCTAGCTATACCAGGGCTCATCCCCCCTCACAAGTCCCGTCCAGTCTTCCCAAGCCCACCCTCTGCTGGGCTGACCACCGTCTGCCATCTTGGTTGACCAACATGCGCCATCTTGGTGGCTCCCTTCCCAGGCAGCCTCCTTGAATAGAGGGCCGCTGCCCGCTCCAGGCCTAGCCCCTGCCTCAGCACAGTACCCAGGAAACCTGTAGAGCCCAAGCCCCTGTCTTTCCACCGCTGGGAGACCCCGTCGTCCTCCCCCAAGCTCTGCCTGCCGAGCCAACCACCGACTCCGCTTCTCGGCGGCCATGACAGTAGTGCCCGGGGAGCTGCTCCCCAGCCATGGCTTACACTGGCCACAGACACATACACTGGGGGTGCTTCCTTCCTACCCGCCCCCCTGCCACAATTTTCCCTGAGGAAGGCGCATCAAAAATTCCTGGCACAGGGCTGTAGCGCTACCACCTGGAAGGTCCCCAAGGTCCCCTCTCTTAGCTGGGGCTGGGAAGGGCCCTGCTTGTGCCCACATCCAGATCCAGAGGCTCAGAAAGGTGGCCCAGGGTGGCTGGGAAGTGTGGCAAGAAGGGCCAGGTGGTGGGTGGACAGGTTCATCTTTGATTATCAGGCAAATGGTACCGCTGGCTTGGGCTAGGAGCCTGGCCCTTCCTATCCCCCCTGCAGCCTCCTCTCCTGAGCTCCGTGGCATCCTCTGTCACCACAGAGGGGACAAGCCCCAAATGACCATGCATTTTCTGGACACCACACTGGCCACCGAGGCCATGCTGCCCGCATGGGGAGGCCACAGCGGCCAGCTCCGGGTCACCTGGTCCCTCCCTTCCCACCGGGGGCCTGTGGCCCGGAGTTGATGGGAGGGGGAGAATGCTGGTGCTTGGGGGGTTCTGGACCCCTGGAATCCTGGGGAAGGGAGGTCTTATGTGCCTCTCCTGCTTGGATGGGTGCCCTGGGCTGAGGTCAGTGGTGTAGGCACCGCCTCCTGGGGGGCTCTGGAAACCCCTGTGGAGGAAAGAGGTGCAGAGTGGGCACTGCCCAACTCTTTGCTGGGTCAGGACTAGGGCCGAGGGAGAATGGGGTTTCTTAGGAACCAGGGGCGCCCATGTTGAGAGCCGAGCCAAAGAGGCAGATTTTGATAATTGGGGGCAGGGGTGAAGTGGGCGGTCGCGGCCCCTGGTCTCCCTTAACCTCGCGCCGCTCTGCAGTGTGCAGGGACCAGGCGGGTGAAGAGAGAGCGCAGCACTTAGATGGTTTGAGTTTTTCTGACCAGCGAACAGCACAGACTCAAAAGACACACCCGGAGCCCAGGTGGCAGCTCCTGGGCCACCCACTCACCCGCAAGCCAGAGCCTCGAGTGCCTCAGCCTGACAGGGAACCCTCTTCAGGCCACCTCTCTGGGGGTCTGGGGACCCCTGCGCACAGCAAAGCCAGAGATGGCTGGGGGCAGCCAGCCACCGGGGAGACCACTCATTCTTCCCCCAGATTGCTGGAGACCCAATCGCTGACTCACGGGCACACACAGGCACCGAGGATGCGCCGGCCTCTGCACACAGTGGGAGGATGGGGGTGTGCGAAATAGAGGGGGCAGGTTTTCAGGATGTTGGCTCCCGCCCTGTCAGCTGGATACACACCTGTACCTGTGTAGCCCAGAGAGCGGAGTCCTTGCACCAGCCCCTCCCGGGAACAACGTCAAGGGCATCCATCCGTCCCTTTCTCAGTCGGGTGGGGCCAGTCCCCAGGAGGCGACCTGGGGAAAGAACCTGAGGCTTCTAAAGCGAAAGAAATCAGGTGATGGGGCTGTGGGAGCAGACCTGGACGGAAAGCCGGAGGGCGCCCGTCCAGCTGGGCCAGGCCTTCCCGCTGAGAGCACCGGCAAGGGGGCTGTTCTGTTCCAGCTGTTCCTCCCTCTGTGCCACTGTCCCCCAAATAAAATAAGGGTGTCCAGGGGCCTTGGTCGTGCCAACAGGATTACAGGAAGGGGCCGAATCCAGCTTTCAAGGAAGATTCGGGAGGAGGGGGTAGGGACCCTCAACACCCGCCCCGGAGCTCAGTTCCTGGGCCGTTGGTTTGGTTTTTCTCTCAAGTCAGGGCCGAGGCAGCCAGCCGGCTTCTCTAATAATCGTATTGCCTATATACTTGAATTAAAAATATATGGTGGCTCAAAACGTGCCTGTGTGCACGGCAGACACCGCGGGGCGGAAGCCCTCACGCCCCCACACACACACACACACACACACGCACACACGCGTGTGCACGCTCACACAGTATATATTAACATATATATTGCTCAAGTATATATGCTATTTACAGTATATATCTATATCAACATAAAACACAGGTATTTATATGTGTGTACAATATACGTCCTAGGGGGTCTAGGGAGCACACGTTTCGGGGGGTCACGGGGCCGACGCGCTTGCTCGGCAGGGAGGAGATGCGGGGCAGTGCCACGGTGGGGGGGGGACAGACAGGAAGGGGTCTGGGGGGCGTGCCACGGAAAAATCAAGGCCTTCCAAGGACAGTAAGGGGACTCCCGGGGCATGAGGTGCTGCCCTGCCCACGTGGACACCCCCGTTTTGGAACCAGCAAACAACCGACATGTTTTGGTGTTTTGTGCAAAATGAATTAACAGAAAGAAAAAACACGTGGGTTCCGAATCAGTACTTGGGACCCGAACATCTGCAAGGATCCAGACGGACAGCTTCCCCACCTGGTGGGTTTCCATGGCTCAGAGGGTCCCACGCGGCACAGAGAATGGGGGTGGGGGGGCTTCACCAGCCCAAGAGAATGTTCCTTCTCCTCCGAGCTTCTCAGGGGTAGCACGTGTCAGCTGCTGCCCGGGCACCGAGGAGGACCCTGCGGGTCCTGCTTGCTTGGAAAACACTCCCAGCTGGAGAGGAGGCACGGGGGTCACCCCATTCTCCGAGGGGGCTGGCTTGCCACCTGGCTGTCCACCGCCCTGCGGCCCTCGAGTCCCCTCTGATGCTCAGAACCACTCTGCCTTGGCAGCTCCGTGGGGGGATGCCCCGGGGACCCCTGTATCGTAACAGACCTCTGCTCCCAGCTTTCTGCTCCAAAGGGAGGGCCGAGACCCCTGGAAGCAGCTCCCTTGTCCCTGGAGCCACAGGATGCCAACCAAGCGATGCCACACTCTTGAGCCCTGGCGGACTCAGCGGGCCATCCCCTGAAACTACTGCCAACTGCAGCCTGGGTGCAAATACATTAAATAAGAAACTAAAACAAGGTATGGTTTTCTCTATTAAGGCTCAGATAAGCTGCCTCCCAGGTCAAGTACTCATGAACACCACGGTCCCTGGACCGAGGGGTGGGTGGGCAGGTGAGTTGGGGGCAGAGGCCTTCCACTTTCCCCCAAAAGTGGGGTGAGGGGGCGGGGCAGGAAAACGGGGGAGCCCTGTGCTGGTCTAGTTAACTGCTGGGGAGGTGGGGGTGACCTAAGAAACAGCCCCTGTGCTGGGGCTGCCCACAAGCAGCCCCTGTGCTGGGGCTGCCCCCATTTAGGGAAACCCGAGGCTCTGCCAGCCCCAGGAGGGTCCAGGGAAAGCAGAGGGGACAGGAGCTCGTGCCCCAGGCTGGTGGGTCTCCTGGGAACCCCCCTCCCCCCGGGACTGAGCGCTTGTGGTGGGGAGGGTCTGGAAAGGCCCCTTTGGCAGTCTTGCTGGGAGTTGGGGCACAGGCCCTGTGGCTGGCAGGCCAGGTTCTGGGGGACTGGGGTCCCCCCTCCAGCTCAGGGCCCCACCCGAGCTCCCTTGGAGCCTCACCAGCACACGACCAGAGGGCTGCCCACTGGCCTCTACTCTGCAGGAACCAGCCCAGAGCCAATGGAACCAGAGACCAGTGACCACAGGGGCCAGAACCCCTACCTTCAAAAGGGCCTTCCGGGGCCCCATGAACTCAGCCCTGCTCAGCCAGCCCCCCAAGATGACCCGAGAATTGGTACTCCCAGTGTCCCGTAGAAGGTGCCAGCTTCCTTTGGCGTCTGCCCCCAGCCGTGGGCGAGGCAGGAGGAGAAAGTGGGTCAGCTCACAAGCTCCCTGGGCCTCAGACATCATTTTCTGGGGTAGGGGTGGGGGAAGGAGGCTGGGGGGGGGGGTCT